TCGAATCGTCTTTTTCTACAATCGCCTATGTAAATATTAAGTTTCCGGGGAGTTATTTAATGAACCTAAATAGAAAATTTCCTATTATGCAGGTACATTAGCAACTTAATTAAGAAAATTGCTGCTACTTTTGTACGAAGGTTATTTTAATAAATAGTCCGCGAAGCGGGTGCCTGCCTAGATATAAATTAGACATTTGAAGCAGCGAAGAGCGAACTTCAGCATCAAATTATATTAAACGAAGCTCCCGAATCGATTTTTTTTCCATCGAGCCAAACTAGTTTAGTTCCACCTGCAGAGACGTACCCAAGTTTCGGTTGCGGCGCCGAGCTTAAGATAATCCATTAACAAGTTCGGTAAAAAGTTGATAAAGTTAGCGGAATTAACTAGAGTTCCAGCGAAAGGTGCAATGTAATTTAGCCGACAATCTGTAGCAATATATTTTCGCCCGTATTCCGGAGACCTGTGCCTGGCTGTGTGCAGGCAACCCCCGGTCGGTAAGTCGGGGGGATCCTATTTACTGCCTCTGGTTCATGTTCTGACGTGACGTATTCATTCTCATTACTCGTCGTTTCACCACCGACACTTCATTGCAGGACCGGCTTCGCCCAAAATTAACTCATGCGCAATTGATTCAAGTAATTCCATAGACATGGTATAAGTGCCAATTGGAGAATCACACAAATTTAATGCTCACAAAAGATAACTCTTTCTGTGGTTCCAAAATAACTACTCATTTTTCAATTTTACAAAAATGGCGGAGGAATAAATGAATAATTACCGCTCTCGAGCAATCACTGGTCAGATTGCTCCTGCACCATTTTTCAAAAATTTGAAACATGCGTCACTGCCAGTTATTTTGGAACAAGGGTATAGAAGTATTTAATTTAATTAGAGCTGGTTATCGCGTTCAGATTTTTTTAAATTACTAGCTATTCACTATTCTTCTATAGATACGTCACTGTCCGTTGCCGACGCCCAAGCTTCTATATTACTGCGCCCCGAGGAAGGGTTACTCCAAATTTACAGCCTGCAGCTCTGCTGAATTGCGCTTTTTATCGCAATTTTCTAAGATCTCTATATCAATCCGTTCCTCAAGAACTTAATAGATAAAACCAGGTAATAAAAAAATAAGGAACGAAATAATTATCTCGGTTTAAATAAAGCTAATATCTAACGTAAGTTCAAATGGTGATTCAAATGGTTAAATTATGGTGATATAACTTTTTGTTTGCTGGAGTATAATTGGAGGAAGAAACTTGAAAAGAAACTGCTAGAGATATTGGCGCGTATAAGATATAATTGTTTATCTTTAACCTTGGTTGTTGAGAAACTTGGCGACATTAATACTCTGTGAAATTGTTAATTTCTCCGTCGTGATTTAAGACGCTTAATAGGAATTTGCCCGATACCCTCCACGACTACACGCAAAACTAATTATCCTTATCGCCCTCTAAGTACATAATAACGTCGGCAGGCGTGCATAATGGGACGGCCCCCGTGTCTTTGTCTTCCTAATATCCTGTCTGACTTCGCAAGCTAGGGACTCCTGGGTCTGGGACTCTGCCAGATCGTTTAATCGAATACACGATTTCACTCTTCTCAGCCGACGGCGGTGCATAAATTAAATTTTAATTATCGCGGTTTATTAGTCGACCGACACTTTTGCTATTCGATGCCCTAAAGCCCGAAGAATTTATCGGAAAATTTACGTAAAATTCCACGGCCTCAGTATACTCGCATTTAAATTAATTACGGCGAAATTAAAATGGCCCTTTTAATTTATATTTATGCTATACCGCATTTAATTAGAGTTCGCAAAGTCTAAAACAAAACGGACGAATATGATCCGCAGAAAAAAAAACGGACCCCTAAATCAAATTCCCTTCATTCGGCTTCCTCCGAGAGGAAAACCGCGAGGCTACCGTGGAAACTTCCAGTGGGAAACTTTCCATTACGGCTTAATGAAAAAACACAGGCATGTCTTGAACTCGGCGAGTTCGAAGGAAACCGAAAGGAGTGTTAATAGGATAATTAACGGACGTCTCGACCGCGCCGGGCGAGATGAATAAATGCCCAAAACTCCTGCGAAAAGTGGATGATGAAAGTTTCGCAAAAAATTAAAATTTCCGACGGAAAGCCGGGCCACTTTTTTCCAGTTTACCATCGACCTTACAAAAAGCGCAACTTCCCCTGGCTTTACAACACCGAAAGAAAACGATACAAGATGTTTGCCAGGAATGACGATAAAAAATTAGATATTACTGAAGATACTAAAAGTATTACGATGATGTTTGTAAACAAAAAAGAGGATAAAGAAAAAGATACTAATGAAAAATTTTGAAGATAAATAGGATTAGTTCAAAGTAGCTTAATACGGATCGTTTACAAAGAGGTAAACACATCGTTACATTTGCTTTGCCCGACTTAAATTCCACTCTCCGATTATTGCTGTTGTAAAAGTGAATTATGCTCGGTGAAGGTAGCAGAAGACAACAGAGCGAAAACGCAAAATGGTCGCACTTTATCAATTTTTTTTGGGGCGCTAATCGCCCCATTCTCGTTGCTCGTTTCGTCCGCAAATTTTTTTCCGCCCGGTGTTATATGGTCGCGAGAATGCGGTCGCGTCGGTCCCGCCTAGCAAAAGTGGCCAAACATAAATTCGCAAAGGAAGTCGACCAAAATGAAGTCGGTTACGATTGATAGTCCGTGACAAAGGACGCTGGAAGAAGAGCTCGGGGCCACATTCGGCGCGCAAATGGGGCCCCATCTCGGATCCAATCAACCGGGAGCTCTTAATCAGCGCTTTTCCGCCGGTTTGGACGTGTTGTTGGTCGGGTGCAACGTTTCCCTAGCCTTTGTAACGCCGATATAAAGAAATTGGAATAGTAGAAAGTGTTGCGGGTATCTATCATCCCGAATAAGAAAGTTAAATGGGAAGAACACTGTCAGGAAGAATGTGAGGTCACGTTTTTATATCATCAGTTACTGCTGTTTCCTGCAGGATTGTAATGTATCATACAGTAACATTAATAAAATTTGTCACATAAACCGTTCGATTCCAACATTTCCAGTTCTAATGTCGATTCGGGGCCGAAATCTTAATTAACTTGTCGAATAAATCATACTTTTCCGGATGAATCGGCCGAACGGCAAAGCCCGCAAACATCAATAGAAAAGCAATTAACGAGGAGATTTGCTGTGCCAGTAAAAATATTAGTTAACCCTTAGGAGCAAGAATTGACCTCGAGTGGCTATAAATTATGCTAACAAATGGTCTGCACTGCTTGCAGCGGCTTTCACCTTATCGTCGAAGGATAATCGACCTGCTTGGCACCCGGAGCGCCCGGAACGCTCCTTCCCGACGCCCCGACGGTTCTCTATAATCTTTTGTACGAATCCCGTTTGTGTTTAATTAATGGAAAATCAATTTCGGAGAGATCCGTTTTCGTCTTTAACAAAAATTACGGGGCATTAGTGTAATTGCTTCCTGCATTATTATTAAAGGCTGGATGAAATTGATCCTTCATTTACTAGTCGAGTTCGATTGAAAAAAATGTTATTGTCATACAAATTATAGACTATTACATTTATACTGAAAAAATCAATACAAGGGTTATTCAGAGTTACGGTTTGAAAAATTTGTATTACATGCAAAGCAGAGATTCTTTAACATAGTTACATTTTTATAGTACCTGCATCCGGTTTAGTCGGGATTTGATAAATGGAATGTTATTCAAGACGTTTGTGCATTGTGTTGTATTTACAATTTTTCACCTATCACCTCGTGTACGAAAATTTGTTTTCGCCATAAAGTTGTTATCTATCGAATTTTTAAAGCCGTAAAAAAGTCTGCGGGTATTTGATGGAAACTCGGGAATTGGTAATTACAGTTGAAGTCAAAAATAATGGGTTTAATATCGATTGAAATTGCAGGATTTTGTATTAATGTAAAGTTGATACAAGTCTATAAACTTTAAAATTTCTCGATTCATTCAAGTTGTATTATATGAGGTACAAAAGTAATTTGCAACATCAAGTCCTGAATAAGGCAGGATTCGGTATTTATTTTTGGTCCTGAATGTACAGCATCGACTGGTGTATTGGCGGCATGGCACCGGGATAAGCTACCTTTATGAATGTCAATTCAATATTTTACGAAATTCAGTCCGTCGGCGAAGCCGATGCGGAGTTTATGGTAGGTTATAACGATAAAAATATTTTACGCCCGTAAAGCTGACGTCATTTCCGCCCTGGATGGTCGTTAACGCGGATGTAAAGAGAATGTACACGATTTATCAATATCCAATAAATTGAATCAAATGTTTGTTTGATTTTTTGTTTTTCCATTTCCTCTTTTGTTCCGACGGACTCGGAATTGACGCAATATAAACCCGTCTATAGTATACCGAAAAACGTTACCTACGGTATTGCCGTTGTTGTTGTTGTTATGATATTTTTATTTGTTCAATTTTAAATTAAGCATATAACGCCATTGTCTCTATTGAAAATATACCAGAATTGGTTTATACGAATATACTCTCTTACGATTCACAACAATAGGTATCCTGTTAGGTATAGCATGTACATCAAAACATCCATCTATTCTTAAAACACAACCGCAGATATGGTTAACATGGCAGGATAATACCGACTTGCCTATTGTTCCAGGCCATTATCTATCCCACAGTCGAGTAGCTGTTTACAATGCTGCCCATTCACTTATGCCCAAGAGGCTAGCTTACTTACAATACGACTTCAAACCGGAATTAATAGACTTTGATTCGAATCGAGCAAAGTCCGGACGAGATGGTTCTCTTTATATTACTCATAACATAACGAACTTTCGTAATACACAGAATGTAACAGAAATATACAGATCCATCATTATCAGCAACGACCCTCGCAATTAGAGATTTATTTCCAGCACACACGGCACCCCGTAGAGTTAGAACGCCGGGTAATCACCGGATATAATTTAGTGCATCGTGCAATAGTAGATGTCGCTGGGGAGGCACTCGTCACCGACTAACGGTAATTTACGCGGCTGCGGCAACGTGAACCCGTGTTGAGGGAGTAACTTGCGGACTTTTCTCGGTATTGTTGCGGCCCCACGTTCCCGATTTACCGATTTGCACGCCGTTTTTGGGGCCACTAATGATGCACCGTGTGCGGAACGTTCCTACGTTTCTGACTCCCGTGTTGCGGTAAGAATGGGAAACATCCAAACCCGGTGAAGATAATTATTATACATCCCTAGTTGCTTAATATTCGCTACCGATTTCTTATAGCGGTAGGTGCCCCGTCGAAACAACCCATGACAAAATAGCCCAAAGATAAAATCGTCCAAGACAAAATCGCCCAAGACAAAATAACCCAAAGTCAAAATCGACCAAGACAGCATAGCTCAATTAGAATTAAATATCACAAATCATAAATTTATCGAGATTTCTTTTAGTTAAATTAAATTATAATAAATTACTATAAAATAGAACAGAATGGAGAAATGTGGGGATTTTATCTTTGGGCTATTTTTTTTGGGCAATTTTATCTTTGGGATGTTTTGACTTGGTCTATTTGGTCATTGGGCTATTTTGTCTTGGGTTATTTTTACTGGCAAATTGCTAGATTTCTGCTTGGTAAATGCATCGAATTATAGAAAGTTTTTTATACGTCTTGTGCGTTCACCAGATTTGATCCTATTAGATGTAATGGTTTTCTTCCAGTCTAGCTCGAAGTTTTCCATTTAAAAAGCAATAGAGAATGCGCCAACGACTCGTTCCCGCAAAAAATGTACCGAATAGTCGATTTTCTGGAACTATTCCGTCCAGTAAACAAAACTATATAGTTTTAGAGTGGCTGACCCCTTTTGTGTGTCGACAGCTTCTCTCATTCGAAATAATTTAGTCGTCTCTGTCGGGTATAAAATAACATTCGTAAATAAGCCGGCGATTTAGAAAAAAGATATTGTTGTAACGAGGGGAGTTTTTGTCGTTTTCCAGGATTGGCCTTCCTAATGGAAACGTCGAATTGTGTTTGCTTTATTAATGATCCGTACAATGCGAACTAATCTACGCTCAGTACAAAAATAAATCATTTCATCTAATAACTAAAGTTTGTACATTTATAATGACAATTACGTCATTTTTAGTAATTTCCACGCAGTTGTAAATGTCCTAAATGTCCTGGTTCTAAATGATTCTGGTGCGTTCTACAGTTCAGTTTCAAATCGATAAAAAGTGACTCATAAAAAGCATTAAATTCAATTAAAATGAATTTATTTAATTTTTTTAAATAATATTGAATTGCCCTCGAAAAAGAGCTTATTTTGTTGTTCAAATAGCAATTTCAGTGTTTCTATTGCAAAGTGCTATATTATAGTGTTTCTATGAGCAAATCGGTGGCTCTGTAAAGGGACGTTTAAAAAAGTAAGATCGATTAACATGTGAATTACGAGTAGTCGCCATCCTCATCTAGCGAATCATCAAAATCTGAATCTTCACTTTTAGATTCATTGAGATAATTACAACAGGTTCTAAAGTAGTCTCAATTATATACCATATAGATTATAGTCTCAATACCATCGAGATTCCACATCTTTTCCTCCAACTGTAAATGTTACTGGGGCGTTCTAAATGGTTCTGGAGCGATCTAAATAATTTTGGTGCGTTTTAAATGGTTACAGACAGTTCTAAATGTTTCTGGAGTGTTCTAAATAGTTCTGGAGCATTCTAAATCATTCTGGTGCGTTTTAAATGATTACAGGCAGTTCTAAATGGTCCAGGAGCGTTCTAAACGATTATAGACAGTTCTAAACAATTCTAGAGCGTTCTAAGTAATTTTAAAAGTGTTTTTTTGTGATTTTCGTCCATTTTAGATAGTTTTTCGTGCGGTTTCAGTATGTTTATCAGTTTCTACCGCGTTTTCTATGAGTTTTGGTGCAATTTTCGAGAGTGAATGTGTATAAATTAAAATATATTAGTAATATAAAGGATTTCAATTAGGTACAACCCGGCAACGTTGCAACAGGCTGGTTTGTGGCGTAATTGTCATGTTAAAACGTACTAACTTTAGAATTTTGGGCGCTTTCCACTATAATTCACGGAATCCATTCCTGTCCCAATAAAAATCCGCTTGTCCACTTTAGATAAGAAACAACAAACGAACGAGTTGTGTAAATTCGACGGATAAAACGCGAATATCTCGACAAAAGTGCACCGCTCATTCGGCTCCCGATGAAAATTCCCGATAAAACATTCGGGCGATTAGAAGCCAACCCGAAAGTTGTTAACAACTGATAAAAGAGCCGTGGTCGTTCTGGCCGATAAACAAACATATTGTCCGGATGTTAGAAGATAATATCGTTCGTCATCGGGAGATTTTCATTTTAGATTCGGTCGCTTAATGTCCCCGAGAGGGCGGATTTGATGAGTTTACGTCTAGCGGAATGTCGGAAAATACGAGGTATTATATTATACAAATAAAAAATACGCCCGATCGAATTGTTTACAGTTTTTGGAGAATATTACTTTTCTGAGTTATTTGAATTTTTTACAACTCTTAGTATGTTCATTTCGGGAATGTTTGTTGTGTACCAAAAGGAACAGAACATATTCTGATTTATACTGTAATAACCAGAAAGTTCTATCGATTGCACATCGCTGCCTCACTGCTAGATATCGGTAATTGATATTCATGCTAAAGGCGAATAATTATTTGTGTATTAGGAACGGATGGAGTTGTGGTTGAATTAATCTCCTTGATAATACGGTAATGTCCGCAGGTGATCTGGTCTTTTGCACCGGCAAAACCCCCCTCAAAAGGATTTAGCCATTGTTATCGACAACCGATGCGCATTTGTCCTGGAAATAAACTTTAATTAAACCTGTATGTGTTATTGGAAAATTTGGAATATTCATAAACGACAGGAAACGTTTTATTTCCTGATATTGTACAAATAACTATTAACATGAATATGGCAGGAATAGGACATTGATTACAAAAATACAGCAATTAATTAAAATATTCATGTGATTTAATTATGTATATTTATAAAATTTTTGTTGTAAAGAGTTGTTGTAAAAGGGCCAAAAAACAACTGAATCGTCCTTTTAAAATTCAGAAGCTGGCTATATACTTTAACTTTAATTAATTTCTTCAACATTTAACTGAAAATGGAAGCAACCTCTTAAAATTTGTTCACTCCCAAAAAAATATAATCTTCAAATATTCATTAAGAATTTAGTGGATTATGATGTGTTTTTTACTAATTATAGTAAAAAGAAAATAGGAATATCTTCGATCTATTAACTACTCATTGCTGACAATGGATAATGGAAGGTAAAAAGGTAGAAATAGATTTGTTGATCAAAGAAGAATATCTTAGCGAAATATATCTAAATAACATGAGATATTGGTCAGTCTGAGCTCTAGACAACTCCTCAGTCTGAAAGAATAAAATAAAAATTGCCTCGCTGATTTCAAACTTCCAATAGTAGAAGGAACATAAAGACGTAAATAGATACTAATTTACCATATCATAAAGTCTATTATCTCTTCTGGCGACTAAATCAAAGATAACTCAACACTACAGAAGCCTAAGATCTACCCATAAGACCTAATCCAAAGCCTATAATATCTACGGTGGACTGTTCCTTTCGCCTTCACCACTTCATTGGGAATCTGAAAAAAAATTCACATTATTAAATGGGTAACGACAAAAAAATTATATCACTTACACTCTTCTCTAAAAATAAGTCATACTGGCTGTGTAACAGAACAGTTTCTTAGGGTAGACATGATACATTTTCATTCTACTGTTTGTTACTACCATTCATTCAACTAAACTCTCATCGATTAGTGCATATCTAGATTCTTCCTGATATATTCTTACCAGGCAAGAGTTTCTAAACAGTTTTATCATCCATTTGGTAGAAAACATTGATTGAATGCAGGCAAATGTCATCTAGGCTTAATAGGTTCTATTGGTAGCAGAAATAATTCAGGCTCTTCAGGACTGATAAATAATAAGTTGATCAAGTACATAGTAATATACCGATCGTGTATTTTTGTCTGTCGATTAAAGGAGTGTATAGTAACACATTAGTAATTTCTTTATCCACGATGGTTTCATGGATATTTACAAGTTATAAAAAGATGTAGAAAACAAACGTACAATTTAGAAATTCCTTTCAATTTGCATTATCCAATGTTGTCAACTAAAATAAGTAATAATACATTAATTATAAATCCTGAATGAAAGGTGATTACGTACTTGAAGATCAGATTCGCCTATATTTAGAACTAATTCTTAAATCAGGAGTTCTCCTTGGACGTCGTTCATTTTCCTCTTCGAAATTTCTGACTGGAGAGAGAAATATGCATAATTTACATTGACTGCCGTTCGTTTATTCTTTTCCTGCTCTATAATTACCAATTTTATTAATAATTAGGGTTTTTATTTAGTAATCTAAAATATTAAATAAGGTTATATTACAAGTGACAAGTTTGACAACTGACATCCTATTTGTCACTTTCTTCTTTTCCTTTTATTAAAGTAAAGCCTTTTACTTTTAAGCGTCCAGCTAGCTTCAATGACCAAAGTATGTCATAGGTTTATAAGTTTTAAAAAAAGAAGATTAAGGTTCTGCAACCTAAATTGTATGACAAATAAAGTCACTACAAGATTTTAAATTTCTAGATTTTAATAAATAATCCAAATATTTGCTATTATGTTCTTAAACTGAGAACATGACATTGAAAAACTTGTATAAAAATATATGTACACACTCTCACTATGATCCAATTTCCTAAATATTATAAACTGTAATATTTTGTTTGCTAATAAAATATTTGCTAAATTTTTATAATTTTTGAATTTTAGAAGCATCAAAAATATACAACTTACGTAAACACAATTCCAATTGCTCCTAGATCCAGATATTTTTCGATAAATTTGATCACCGATCAAATTGTAAGTATAACTAAACTACTTTTGCTGATAAGTAATTTTTGTTTATTCCTACTACTAATTTTGTTATTACAGCTGTCTAGAAACTGAACCTGGTGGGAGCAATCCGTCGAATTCGATTACAAATCAGCTGATAGTTCAACTCTCGACCAGCTGATCAGAAAAACAAACCAGCACTAGCGGGAGAACCCTCGCGGTGAACACTGTGAACAGTGAGTCGAGTTCTAGACGGACTGACAGTTTGTGTCGGTTCGGAGTTGCTCGGCGTCGCCTGAGGAAAAGCGTCGCGACCAAATCAATTTTCCGGGTTTAGGTGTGCAGTTTCCGTCGAAACATCGAAAGGAAAGCCATCGCATAACGGATTATCGGTTGGGAAAAGTGATGCAAAAATTACTGCGTTTTCGTCTGCTTATTGACGTTTGTTCCTTTGTTGTCGAGAAACAGGTAAGCATCGGGAACTCCCGGCTGTTATCGGTTTGTTATGTAAACCGTATTACTAATGGATTCTCGAGGCGAAAGATTCGCATTGTTGCCAAATTTTCCAGAAATTCACTAGACCTCATAGCTTAAAAACCAACTACTAATTTTTGCATAATATGCGAAACTAAAGCAATAGGAATGGCTAAAAATCAAAAGTTGTAAACACAATATTTTCAAGTCTACGTAACAAACGTTTTAAAATAATATTTCGCTAAATTTTGAAATACCTAGGTATACTTAGTAGAGCAAAACAAAATTCAATAACATAACGAATTCATTTTGGTTGCTTCATAACAATTCGCACTGCATGTGATAATTTAAATAGTCAACCACCTATAGCAGTGATTACAGAAAAATTACTGATTAACCTGGTGACCTCGTTAAGAAAAATTCTTACCAAAACAACAAATTAAAGTGTTTGAAACGTTGTAATAATGTAAATTATAGTTTTGGTTCGATAATTAGTTGAAACAATATGTACTAAAATTCATAATTCAAAACCAGCTTCATCAAAACAAATTTCTAAAAAAATCGACTTTCCTGCTTATATATACATATAATTAAAATTACTTGTAAACAAAACATAATATCATATTCAAAAGAGCGCTTATAAAAAATAATTCAATTAAAAAATTTATTAATTATCATTTCTTAAATTTTCTTTAAATAATCTTACGTAAGCATATCTAATAGTATTTAATAAACTAGTTTTTTTCTTTTGGTAATTACTACGTAGAAAGAATTCGAAGTAAACTGCGTCTTACGCAGTTATTTTAGGGATTTTCGAGGACGAAACACCGACAACGTCGCGTTCGCGGTTCAAACGTGTTCCCTATTTGTTTCTTTGTAGTTTGTGATTGCTTATTGCTTTTGCCTATTGCATTGCGATATACCAATGGTTCCTGATGCAAGTATTCATTTTGTATATCAAAGTCATACTTTCCTTTCTAAAGTAACCGAAGTAATTACTTCTTATGTAAAAGGACGGCGAATTGCAATTATGGTTTAGTTTACACCGCAAAAGAAAATAAAACTAATAATATACTCTCCCGCTTTTTTGTGTTTTCGTTTTGTTAAGTTTTGTAAAAATTTGTTAATTATAGAAATTTCAGCAACGAAAAAAAAAATAGAATCATTGCAAAATTTTAATGCGAGCAAAGAATTTTTAAGACTTAGAATTGTATAGATATGTTTATCAATTTGTTCAATGCTAAATATAACTATTAAATTATACGGGATCAATTTTGCAATAATGGGATGGGATTAAATTACCAATTAATGAGCCAGTTAAATTAACACTGTAACGAATAAACGACTGCATTGTCGGACTACGATTACGCCCACGTTCAATGGAAATAATTGTAAGAATTAGCACAAACGACCGTTGAAAACTTCAAGCAGTTCGTTTAGATTTTGATACAGCAGTGCGATATTCAAAGAATACTTTCTGCGTTAGCCTAAACATTCCAGCATACAAGAGATTTATCTGGTCAAAATAAAATTTAATTTAACCAGACTAACCAATAAACGATCAATTGATGTTGGCATATCTGTAAATACTTGAAGAATACTTTATTCCTTAAAATATTGCAGATGTTAAATCAATAAAACATTATGATATTTCTGCACTAAAATTCCAAAAAATACTAACTTATAAATTTTGAAGAACCTTCATTGTCAGTTTTAGCGATACAACCGTTGGACGCGGAAAAAATCCTACCGGCTCGACCAGACAACGTAAAGCTCTTTAAGGACGTTAAAGGACGAATGGGTGAGTCATTACCTGGTAGGTCTGGTCGAAGCCCCCTTGGTAATTATCGGAAACAAATTTCAAGGCTTGAAGAACTTTTCAATAGCAAAGCGGAACAAATAGTTTATTTCCTAAATTGATAATGGTTGAAATTAAAATTCAAAAAAATATAGTGAATATTTTATTAATAATGACTTGAAGTATTTAGACTGTTTTGCATTTGGAAAGTCCCCACTTTTATGTTGAAATATGACATAAATTTCACATAATTTATCATTAAATTTATAATAGACATGAAATTAAAACAAATTACTTACCTACGCGTTAAAATATAGATAACGAAAACATAATATTATCAGATTATACATAAATATGTATGTATTTTTGAGGGAATCAGATAATAAGTGAACGTGCAGATATTCATTTCGTACAAAATTATTAGGTCCTTATCACAACAAAATACTTAAAAAAATATAAAAATAAGTAAGTAGGTACATATTTTGCTAAATTTATTCTTATATTTTAATGGACTGACATACCTATTGCATTATTACGTTTAAAATTGATCAAAATGTAGGCTAAAGTTTTGACCAACATCCGTTCTATTTATTATTAAATGATATTAACCATCACAGTATGCATTAATTTTGAATATCAACTAGGTGCTTTAATAATTTTATAATTTTGAAACTTCTCGCATCCGTTCATCCATGATAATAAGTACCTAATATCGATTATTTTAGAGATTATTTTTGATAATTTGATGGTCACTAAAAATTCTGTAGCATTGTAATATATGATAAAAAAAATTAACACTAACGTGTATAATGTTAATTTAAGTGCCTTCAATGAGTCGGGAAATGTAAGGAAAGAACAACGATTAAAGTTGCTAAAATTTCAAGGAACAAATTTTAAAAACGCACAAAGCTACATTCGTACCTACGTAAAACGTAATACTCAACAATGTTTATGCAAATAAAAACAATCGTATAAAAAATAAGATAAAATTTTGCAAATAGTCTACAGATTGTAATAATCTGTAGATGTAATAAACCAAAATGTGTACAGTATAACTTTTGTTATTTTATTTCGACACAATTACACACGTGGAATCTTTTCGACTCGACTCGATCCAAGGCGAAATAAATAAATAAATACTAAAAATAATTACGAATTTAACGCTGCCGCGGATATTACACTGAAGGTTGTTCGATTTCTATACGTACATTGCAAAAATTCGTATTCTATGAAAAAATATTTTTAATCCTGTTAATTTCGCGTAGAAAATGTAGACGTGCTGAAAAAATGAACTGTACTCGTTTAAAACAAGTTACCATATTTGAGAAGTCTCCTTGTTGTGGTGAGCCTTTCCCGGTAACCTTCGCATTTTCAATACCATTCTATTTATTTCGTCGCCAGAGTTTCTACGTATACCATTACATTAAATGTGTTCGAGTATTACAACAAAAATTATCTAGCAATATTAGTAAACACATAATCCAGTAATAAAGACTATTAGATTAGACATTAATTTATTCGTATAATTTAATTAATATTCATATAAATACACTTTACCTGTGGAAAGTTTCGTTAAAGAACCGAATGCGGAAAAGAAATTTAGCACGTTTATACGTTTGTTGTCAATGACTTACATTAGATAACAACAATAGATTGTTTTCGTATTCTTAAGAACATTTCCTTCATTCTATTAACTAGCCTGATTTTAATTGTCTAACACAATTGTTTTGATTTTATTGCACGTACCGTTCTGCAAGGATAAATTAATTAATTGATTTATTTTATAATATTTATCTTTAATTGGTTTATTTAATTGATTGCTTGATTAATTTTGCCATAGCGCATATGACCTTGGCGGTTTCAGCTATTCAAGTCGGTCTGTAACTAGTTACAATAACGATATCATTGGAACGGTGTAATTTGCAAGTTGTGCATTTTAATGATGCTGCAATAAAAGCAAATACATGTTAGTAGATTAAGAAAACTCACGAATTTTTGATAAATAACATTTAGTAAATACTCATATAAATAGAAACCCTTGATCTAATTTTTTTAAAAATTATAAATTTCCGGCTAGCGCAAAAAGAAATATTGTAGGTCAATGCAATCCAAAAATATACAATTAATTTTGCAATACATTTATATCCATTTGGATTTGTTATCTAATCGAAACTTAAAAAAAATGTTAATTAGCATCTGCAAAATTTTATACCGTTTGAATATAGGTCAAAGCATGCAATTTAATTTCCAAGTGTTCCAAAAAGGGACTGTTATCATTGCAAAACCCAAACATTTTCATGTTGTATTCTCGGCCTACGCTATGAAAAAATAGTCGCAGATTGTTGCAAAATGTCAACCTACTAATCCAAAAATACACCCGATTTTATTATCGTTAAAAAGAGGTCAACCGTGTACGCAACTCGGTATTTATAATTTTTCCAATACATGCATAATATTCAGGTATCTAATAAAAATGAAATTATTTCCTTAGTAATCCAAAAGCTTCCAAAAGCTTTGATGTAAGGATGTATTATTAATAAAGCATGTTACAATTAAACCGTATTTAATATACATATACATACCTAATAAAATTGGCTGCTTTTAACAAAATTATGTGCACTTCATACGCACGTTTCCATTAATCTAAGTTAATGTGTGGCTTAAAATACACTGCGATATTCAAGGAATATTAAACTGTAATATTAATTTTACATTGTAAAAGTTGTTTGGTAAAATAATCCTTTTTAAGAAGCCTTACATGAACACGCGTTTATTAAAATTAAGTTAAAGGTAAATTACTTATGAACTTTTAAACTCGTAAGAAACAAAGCCAACAAAAGATTTGCATACAAGCAAAGTTTATTTGATAAATAATTATAATCAAGTAAATGAGATGGATTATTAAATTTATTAAATTGAAAAAGGAAATGAGAAAAATTGACAATTTATCGCATAAATTGTCATCTCTTCTCAAAAACGTTAATCGAATAAGTCTTAGATCGTTGTAAGTGTTTATCAACATGTCACAATATCATTCGAACAAAATCATCAAAATTTAAAAAAATCCATTCAAAAATTCATTTAAAAAACTCATTCAAAAATGGTAAATGATTTAAAAAAACATCGAACGAAATCTACTTATCACCATAATCAGTCGATTATATTGTGTTTCAGGTTCCGTTAAGATGCCATCTTTATTAGAAGCCCTCGAACAGAAGTATGGTGAAAGTTCGACGGATTCCGATGGTTCGGAAGACGAAGGTATTTCCGTGTCCATTTTCGTGCCTTGTAAATCCCCGAGAGCCGTAGTACCGGCCCTTTTGGTACTCAACGACTGTGACATCGCCACTGCCGGTGAAAAAGAGGCCTTGATAGCCAAATGCGCCAGCGTCGAGGAATTGGACTTGGCCAAAAACAAATTGCAAGAATGGCCCGAGGTAAATCAAATCACAGCCATTTCGTATAAGATTCGTGATTAAGATAGTTCATTATCGCAGGTATTCGGTATCTTAGAGCAGATGCCTCGGCTTAAATTCGTCAATTTGAGCTTCAACGTGCTATCCACTCCGCTCAAATCCGAAGTGGAGCTCGACAAAGGCACGCAATGGCAGCAACTGAAAAGTCTAGTGTTAAATTCCACGTACATAAGTTGGGACAGCGTCCAGGAAATCCTGGACCACCTGCCGAATTTGGAAGAACTCCACCTTAGTTTGAACGACTACAACGACGTTCGTCTACAAGAGTTAAATAACTGTGATAGCGGCATAAACGACAACGAAGTCGCCCGTTCCCCCAGCGAGTCCGAGGACGCCAAAACGTGCTCCTGTCCCCCCAAACCGAACCATAAGCATACGGGATTGAGGGTCTTCCACTTCAACGGCAATCCCGTGGAGGACTGGAAGGAAGTGGTGAAAATAGGATACGCTTTTCCTAATTTACAGACCCTAGTTCTGGCCGATTGTCCTATTAGAACGTTGGACGTTGACGAGGACTTGGAGGAGGACGGTGGAGGCGGTAATATGAACTACGAGAGAACTGAAAGCCAGTGCACGGCGTGCACTGATAAGTGCTCGCCTCACGGCGGATTCCAAAACTTAAAAATCATCAATATGAACTCGACCAATATTTCCACGTGGAACGACGTGGAAAAGTTGGCCAAATTCCCTAAATTGGAGTGCGTTAGAATTCAAGTAAGTCAAAAAAATATTACATTGGAACGTCGTTTCTTCTATTGTTTGTTCAAGCTCGAAGTCTCACCAAAATTTATGAACACTTTGCGTGTAATTCCGTTTTCATATCCTTGAACTTGACTCGCAATTGGGTATTTATCGATCACGTAAAATAGTTAATCATCATTTCGCCTGTAAATTATTTATGTCTCTTATTTTTACGACGGAGTATCACCTTCACACTAATTGCTGCATATAAAATTCCCATTACTCGCAACTACTTCAAATTATAAGAAGATTCCAAGAAGACCAAGTCGCCTATAAGTATTTTCATTTGAATTTTCCAGGCGTGTCCCATTTGGGAGAGTAACGAATATACGGAGCACGAGAGGCGGCAATTGCTCATTGCGCGATTACCGAACGCCAAGACGCTCAACGGCGGTAGTATATCCACTGAGGAAAGAGAGGACGCCGAACGGGCTTTCATTAGGTATTATATGGACAAACCGGAGAGCGATCAGCCGGAAAGGTAAATAATTCAATTGGAAAGAAATTGCATTGTTCTAAAGGGGAAGCGTGTCGTATTCCGGTATTAATGACATGAAGAGAAAGCAGCAACATTTATAATTATACGCTTAAAAATTATTAATTATTATACCCTTAAAAACATTGAAGCAAATTGGGAATTTTTGCTATAGTTGGTTTAAAAAGCAGTGTAATAAATAAGTCTACACTGCACTGTAGAAGAGTAGTTATTTTGTAACAGTCATTACTACACCTCTATACCAAAAAATTTATTCCCACCTCTATTAAACTTCTGTCATAAGATATGTCACTAATTGTCAATTTTAACAGTTTTGTTTATGTATCATCGAACGCATCTTGAAGTCCCAATTATTCATGTACAATGCAAAAAAAATTATCGTAGAGTAAAGAATTCTAATTGTGTAATCACTGTATTAAAACAGAATATATGCGTTGAGAATACATACTTTGCTGCAAATAAAAATTCTCAATCATCAAAAGAATTATTTGTAGTTATTTCCCGGGGACTCAGCGCTCAAATTTCCCGTAGGATTAAAACGACATTTAATTCTCTGCTCCCAATTTACCTATAGGATTAAATTTCAATATCCGTTTGGCGCTCTGCGGAGACTGTATTAGTTGCTCTGTAAAAATTAATTAATATTCACCTGGATGTAATATTCGGCAGAATGCATTGATTTATGTATATTTACAGCACTAAATCATAAACTAACCGTTAGTTATTAACAAAATAATGCTTTTAGTGGGCGTCTTTTATGAATAAAGGAACACTCGAAAATTTGCGAGAATAAATCAACCGGTACTTCGATCCTTTTTAAGATTTTTTCAAGGATTCGAAGATGCTCATTTGCGCGGTATAAATTATGTACTGTTAGATTTTCTGCTGACTTATTACATCTCATTAATTATCCGTGTCGAGAGGTTTAAAATGCGAAAAGTTGACCTGAAAAATTTTTCCATATCATCTGCAAAGTGTTGAATTTCGTTGTGTTCCAGGTTTTTCGAATTAATCCAAATCCACGGTAAATTGGACCCTTTGGTAAAAGTTGATCTCCGGCCGGAAAAACGAGTGAAAGTGACCTTTACGTGCGGAGAAAACAGCGAAACTAGGCCTCTAGATTTATCCAGAACAGTATGGGATCTCAAGGTAAAGTTGGAAGGATTCGCTGGATTTTCCGCGTCAAAAATGCGGCTGTTCTACGTCGACCAGGACTTGAGAGACTTCCAGGTTTGTACGATACATTTTAAAATAAGTACAAAAATAAACACTTGCTTTGTTTTAGGGACCGGAGTTGATGAAGTTCCCCAACAAGCGGCTGTACAGCTACAACATTCGCAACGGTGACGAAATAATAATAGACTGTAAAAAGAAACCGAGTGAATCATCTAAGTAAATACTGTTCGAAATATTCTAAAATAAGTTGGAAACAAAAAGGGCGCACTTGTTGTTCGAGTCACCGAGTTGTTTAGTACTTTTACTCGATTCTTTCAGCTCATTTTTCATTTGGATGAAAAATTCCAGCAGCTCCAAACTTTCTTTGCCTCTGGCGACTTAATTAAGAACTTGTTAGTTTCGATATTTGATTCATTTTGTTTTCGTTAGTATCGGTAATGTTTTATTAATTTGTATCTAAATGTATTTTTATCGTTTTTTGTTTAAGTAGGTAATCGAAATTGCCGAACAGTTATCAGTGATTTACTTATGTATGTACTATGTACGAGTGGTGTTAGTGATAAAATTAGATGGATAAGTCTTAATCTGTAATGGCTGCCGAATGTTTTCACTTCCTATTATACTTTTACATCACGTTTTAATGCAGTTTTCTCGATTTCATGTACCAATTGAAGAGTTTTCCGCGCGTTTTACTTAATAAAATGGTTTTATTGTTTGAATTCCGATGGACAATCATGCACTTGTAAACACTGCCAATAAATATACTGTTCTATTTTAAGATATCCATGCGAATCTGACGAGGAATATTCAGACCCGGAGGAGAATACCCAGGATATAAGCGAATTCAGAAATTGGCACTAGTAGTAATGTATTTTTTAAATCCAAAACTAATTACCTGTGATATGATAATGTAATAATTGTAATTCGGCTATCGACATTTTTGTTTAGAAAAGAACATAAATAGATTTCAACGAATTTGGAATTTTGATTTTTAAATAAATATTTTAAAATTTTTTATCAAAGCCTCGTAAAACAAGTAGGTATTACAATTTAAAAATTGCAAGAATGTACGGAATAATTAATTGATCAAAAATACGTACGTACCATTCTTTTTGAATATGTTAGTATGTATCTACTTACTTATTTCCTGGTGAAATATATAAAATTCTTTTATAGAATATATTTTTAAGTGTATTGCATATCTTAAATAAATAAATTATTCATATAAGTTTATGTAAAAAATGGATAATTTAATGAAGCACTTTATGTATGATTTTTAATGGGGTACGGTGAATTTTGCGAAATGAACAAGGCAGCTTTTTAACTAATAAATAAGTATCCTACCTGTAGAAAGTAAAAATGAATGCAGTGCCAATAGACACATTAAATGTTAATTTATTGTAAAACATAGTTCTCAATGATTCTTTTTTGTACTTAAGTATTGTTCAAAACAATTGTTTTCTTTGTTCTATTATTGTTTGAAATATTTTGTTATTATTCCTATTCCAAAATTTATTATTTACGCTGTAATTTAGTCTTAAAATAAATAATTTTCAGAAGTATTAAATTACAAGTAAAAATTATACCATGCGCAAATATATTTTGAGGATTTTATCCAATTTTTTCCAATCTTAAATAGTCAGATAAAATACTAAATATTTTTTAAAAAAATTGAAATTTATCTTATTAAAATACAATTTAAATATTTTGACTGCTGTGTTAATTTAGAATTTGTATAAAATTCAATAGAGAATTTATCAAAATTTAATTAAACAGTTTGACAACTAATTAGAAGAAAATTCGTAGTAAAAGAGCAATTTTATTACCCTCAATATCAAATATCACCTATAATTAGCTAGTAGCATCCGTTTAAAGTGTTAACTAAAAAAAGTACGAGTGAAAGTCCATATATAATTCACAAATTGACTCATCTTTATATCAAACTCTAGACGATAAAACAGTATACCGTGTGCGGTCCCTTACGCTTAGCCCTTGCGAGAGAGAGACCTTCTTAGGATCCATACTATTATACATATTATAACCATTATAGTCTTAGTATCATGGTTTATATCATGTCATTAATTCTATTTCTCTCTCTAAGCGTATGCCTTAGCCGCCCGAATATTATGTAAGAAGCACTGGAAGCAGCATTCGATGTCGTTCAAATAATTGTTACTAGTTTATTAAGATAACTACTGTGTATTATTTTTAATTACATTAGAACACAGACAAAAGTAAATAAAATAATAAACCCAACTGCTTTTAATTTTATTTTCATATTTTTCGTAGAAAACACCTTTACATTTTCTCTATTCCATGTGTATAAAGAAATTATTTATTATTAACAGTTGGTACACTATTTTTGTTTCTTTTGGACACCAGTGGTTCCTTGTTGTTTGCTACAACGCTCGCCATATTCATAATTTTGTCGATATAAGGCAACAATTCATTGTTAACTTCACGCAACGATTCAAGCAAACTCAGAAATCCATAATCATTGGTGATGTAATCATCAGTGGATTTTCCAGGGTAGGTTTCTGAAAGGAAAGTTGTAAGACCTGCGGGACTGATGCCTATCAAAAATTTCACTGTAAAGGCACCTTGGTGTGGAGAGTGCATTTGATATCGTCGTTCCACTGTAGGAGGAGTGTGAATTTTAAATTCGATGCAGCCAATTACGGCTCTACAGTTCGGGTAGTTCTTGAAGATCTATGATGGTGAAAGTTCTTTGATGACTTCGCCAGGGTATCCACGTTTTAGTGCTTTCATACAAAGTGTCTAAGAACAGAATAAAACATTCTGCACACCGTTGGGAGTGAAATACTAAATAAAGCAACGAAATTAGTAAAAGGAAGGCCGGTTTTCATTTTCATAAGAAATTATAAGAGAAGACAGTTTTCTAGATTTTCTGGCTCTATAAAATGTTGGTTGGTGCTCTGCTTTCGATTACACGAATGGTAGCAAAATATTGAAGACAGATTTTGTAACACCAGTCCAAGCTTTCATGCTGCTCTCATATCTAAAATCTTCAACTCCATAAAAACCGGAGGTCACTAATCGGCCAGGGCTAACTCTGTCGTCTTTTTTAGTGATAGTTTGTCCAAGCTGACCTCCATTTAACATCCATTTAACCTCGATTTAATAATGATTTTAGTTTGAGTTTCAGCTTTTTTCAACGACGAATGCAGAAAGCATGATAAACTGATGATAGCAATTTCAATATCCATATCGGCATTAGTTTGTATTCGGATTGTTCGTTTTGTCGAGGCAATTCTTCTCTAAGATCCTTATTTTGTTTTGGGAATTGTTGTTTGTTTAATGTCATTACAATATCGATTCTTTGCGTTTCTTCGATTTTATTATGCATATCGCATAAGTTCCGACTTATACCTACATAGACAAAGTATTGCATTCAGGGTTGCCTAACTATCAGGATGTATCACGAGAATTAGCCCCAATAAGTTGCCTGGACTACAAGTTGTGTGCTGCTACAAGCTGTGTGCATTAAGCACACTTTATATTTTTAATTTACTAGAATAGAGTTTCAGTAGGTACTATCTGAGAGAGCCCTCCTTTCTGATCTAAAAACTTGAATTTATTATTATGCAATTAGTGGATTTAAGTTACATACTTTACTTATAGAAGTAGGTAAATGTGCAAGGAGGATTATTTTGTAGCTGTTTGCAATGGTACTGGATCAAAGGTTTTTCTCTTTGGGTAATTATTGGCTAGATTGGAATTAATCAGTGAAGCAGGTTAACGAATTTTTCAAAATAACGTAAATATATTCAAAAAAGAAATTATTCAACCATTTTTATGGTAATTTAATTTATTATACTTGTAACTTTTCACTCTAAAACTGTAAATAGTAGATAGGTAAATAATTGTCAATAATTAAGAGTAATGCAAATTAATTGAGCACCTCCGCCAAAACATGAATATTTGGCGGAGTACTTATCGAGTACGGAGCCACAGTACCACAGCCTAAATTTCGTAATAACCATCCGATACCGAAAAAGGAATAAGCGCGATACGCGATACGCGATAATAAACGTGCAGCCGCCCCGACGACGTCCTTCGTCCTTCGGAATCTTCGACATGCGTCTCGGTTCTCGTGGCACGCGTACAACCCCCGAAGAGCGCGCGCACTTCGCAAGAAGAGGGGCGCCCATTCGGTAGGTAGAAAACCGTATGCTACGGCCCGCCGAAGACACATCACACTGTTCGATGTTTTCGGAACGATCAACACGTGCTGCTATCGACCACTAAAGCTCTAACACTCGCGCTAAAACTTTTTCTCTTGTAAAAACTTATTCACCGGTCAGTGCGTTTCGACATTCATGTTATTGCCTATGGCGCTCACCATGACTCTCGGTCATCAGAACAAAATGTACAACGTTATCCAGCATTCGGCTTCTCAAGCAAATTGTGTTATCGTCGCTCAACCGAAGTCCTCTTCAACCGGGTCTAACAAAAGGCCTTTGGCACCGGCTCCGGAGCGCACTTCAGTGCTAGTTACCAACGATCTGAGGTGCAAGCGGAAAATTCAATTCGTGCCGTACGGTGCTCCGCCACAGCAACCAGCTTCAGTAGCCAGGAGGAACGCCAGGGAGAGGAATCGAGTCAAACAGGTCAACAACGGTTTCGTCACCCTTCGCTCGCACATTCCGCCTAGTGTTGCGCAATCCCTATCTCCCCAAGGATCCACGCAAGGTAGAGGCGCCTCGAAGAAACTCAGCAAGGTGGAAACTCTGAGGCTAGCCGTGGAGTACATCAGGTCGCTGCAACAGATGATAGACGATCACGAGAGCGAAGTGAAGACCTCATCGATAAACGACAACAGATTCTACACCGGCAGTCCCGATTCTAATCAAATGTACGGTTCCTACCCGGTGCTGCTGTCGACTCCTGCCTGTTCGGAGGCTTCCGCATCGCCTACGCCTTCGCACAGCTCGGAAGGTTCGTTTTCAACGTCGCAAAGCTACTCTACAAACCTTTACCATCACCCCGTCGAAAACTACGAAAACTACGATCCCAAATGTTCCGAGGACGAGGAACTGCTGGACGCAATCTTTTCTTGGCAGCAGGAATAGCAACAGTCTATTAAAGGTCAGTTACATGATATTAAGCAAATTTGTTTTTTCTGTATAACTAAAATTTCTTTAATGCACTTTTTGTATTATGGTTTTTTTGCAATGTTTTTGTTTTGTTGCAGGACGAGAACGGCCAGTGAATGATCTAATCAAATAAAGAGACAATTTGTTACAAAATCAGGAAACCCAGTGCCTTCATTCCAACGAGTGATATTTTTTACACAAGGTTTTGAAGAATCTCAAGAGTTTATAAACGTTTTTCTAGTCATTGTTTATTTTATGCAGTATTCGCTTATTAGCTTAAGTCTATAGAATAAGAATCGAATAAGTTTGAATCGTTAAAATCAAAAATTTCATTAATATTGTTGAAAAGTTAAGTACTTATTATTATACAAAAATTTACATGTACATCTTTTCTTAAGTCTATAGACATTCAATTTCCGATACTGTATGAAAATTGTAAATATTGTTTAAAAATAGTTAAGTTATATTTTAGCTACAACACGTTCGCAATAAAAGTTTTAGCATATTTATGAGTACTTAACGAAAAATTCGCTCTCTATTTTCTTAAAATCGTACTCAGTATAATGTTGTTAAGTTGATAGTTGTTAAGTATTTTGACTTGCCTTTATCAAGATACGTTGTAAATAATTATTTTTATATGATGCATATTGCAAAAAATCTTGTACTGATAAATATAGTTTTTTCTATACTTATTCCTGTTGTATTATTTAAAAAATAAAACAATCCTAACGTAAATGTAAATATGAAAATTTAAATGCATAATGAGCAAAGGTGTTCTAAAGTTTGTGGCGCGTGCCTCAAAAACACCTGCCTCCCCGAACACATGTCTATGTAATAATATCTGAATGTTGGTTATAAGAACAAAGAGAACCATATTAGATGATAATAATAGCACTTATGAGTTAATTAGACTGATAATTAAGACCACTTAACTATAAAAATATCTAATTGTTTTCGCCTAGAGATTATGGCGCTCAATTACAGTAAAATTAATAATTTGTTGACATATCTCTCACGAACGTTTTACAAGAATATAACAAGTAAGGGTTAAGTAAAAATAAATTTATTTCTTTAACTTTCTACTCAAAAAATATTCTACAACAAAAAACTTCCCCGCGCAAATAATTGTTCTTCTTTCGTCTGCGATCGTTGAACTCTTTTCAATTACCCGGGCGCTCGCACTCTAATTCGAGTTAGGCAAGGTCTCTAAAAGCATAGCGTCTCGTCTGGACCACTCGGAACTTCTTTCGTCCTGTTCACATCCGCTTCGTCCTCTTACAAATCTCAGTGCTCCATTCGAAGGCGATTAGGATCGGAGCCTTTTATTCGCGATATCCTCTCTCCGCTCGCGACGAATCCATCTCAACCCAGCGACAGAGCAAAAATTTATAATTCAATCATCTACCTGGGAATTTCACCTTTATCTTCTCAATTTTCAACTACCTATTATAGAAACGAGAAAACGAGAAAAATATTAAAACTTCCCTAACTGATATAATTTATAGTGTACTATATGTAGATAAATGTGTATGAATTCAAATACATTGTAGATATGTGGAATATCTGGTACAAATTTACATATGATAGAATAATCAAACAAATTTCTTTAATTTTCGTATCTACGACTCTGCCTCTGTGCGTATTATTGCTGATACTGAATCTGATACGCATTTGATTACTTACACGCGATACCGGTTTCAAGTTACCCTGAATATGTTAATGGCTGTTTCATATCAAGAAGTTGACGCGTCAAACGGCTCGAGCTTAAGCAGAAAATAACAATGGTACGGACGAAAAAAAAAATGGAGCGAATTCAAATATGTTTAGCACAGCTGAGCTCTTGCTCTTTTATAAGCTCTTGGCGGCGATATTTATTGGTAATGACGGTAATACTGAAAAAGAGAACAGTACAGTTTGCTGTATATTATAGGCAAAAGATAATACCTGCTCTCGAAAATGCGTCACTGATTGATAATGACAAGCGAGTTGATAATTTTTTGTAGGTACGCCCTTAATGTTTATCAAACCGTTAGAAAGGTTCAAATAAGTTTAAATTTAACAATCAAAAAATGGTATTCGCCTTATTTAGGACCACACAAAGAGCCGTTTTAAAAAAGCGCGCTATCTAAATTGGCGAAGACATTAACGACCCGGAAGAGTAAACTGTCTCGTGGTTCCTTAACAATTTCAGTAGTCATCGACGATAAGAATGGAAGCGCCAAAGGATTGCCGACAATAAAAGTTTCTCTCTTATTAGGTGTCGCCTAGGAAGAATTCGGAATTCTTGTTGCATTAGCGAACGAAATTAAAAGATCAAGATTGCACTTTCAGATATTGCCCACCGGAAAACAGTGCGCCGATGAAAAGTATTTTTTACTCCCTGCGACAACCCCCGGTTTAGTGTTACAATTTTTTGCAATTTTTACGTGACTTACGAGACACCATAGTTTATTATTCTCGGTTTAATAGAATAGATCGCGGTGCAATTGTGAAATTGTGCATAGGAAGTGCAGATACAAAAGATGGGAAGAACCCAACGCGTTTTTGCAGTCCACCCATTTCCTTGTAGTTTCTGTTAAAAGAAACGCTTCCTGATGGATTTATTATTTCGTTTTCTTACTTCAAAACTACAGTGGTGTAGATAGAGTACTATAATTTCAGTTTAAAATTTGTTAGACACCATTACTGCAGAAACAATAAATAATTAGTCTCTACTATATTAGTAAATATAAATATTGTGATTAAAATGTCATAATGAAATAAAATTTATAATGATAATTCGACGCTGAACAAATTATTGGCTAGGTTTCACGTCAAAATTAGCTACCTATAGGCTTGTAAACGATCCGGTGTCGGCAAAAATCGAATGTAAAGCCAGTTTTGTCGCCTTTGACTGTCCTCGTTTATCCTGTGCTAAATAAACCGCGCCGCGTTCGAAGTTCGACGAAAACGAAAACATAAACCGGTGAAAAAAAGAAGAAGAGAAAAAAAGGCTGAAGAAAAAGGCACGCAACAAATTGTCGACATCTTTAATTGGACAGGCAAAGTGTATTATTTATGTATTATTTACATCTCGAAATGTCGATATCGGGTCGAAAAGTATCAAACGTAGGGAATGCGAAGATATTCTCGAGGAATTTCTAAATTAGATCGGACCATTGAGAGAAGGGTTTTTTATCGACACTGCGGCCCTATACAAAGAAATCAATTATTTGTGGTAATTTTTCCTCAGTCTATAAGCCTAATTATCGAGTATTTATGGGCTATATGGAGCTGTCGGTGTAACTTTTTATTTCAGATTGTCCATCTTAACAACAGAAGTCCATAGCTACGGCAAAACTAGTTTTTCGAAAGCTTTTTCACCCGGCAATATTATTAAATTTTATAGGCTATCATCTACTGTTGCAATGAGTTTTGCCCACTCTGTATATACTTTTATAAATAATTCAAATTTCTAGAAGACTAGAGAAATACAAAGGTAACGAAAAATACAGCAAATAAATTTTAATGAATGAACGTTTCAGTCGTTAATTTTTATACCCGTTTAAAAGTTTTATACGAAATCAATTTTATTAGTTATAAAAATATTCCGAAAAATTTTATCATTCAATCAAATTAATAGGAGCAACCGTAAAACGCAAAATCGTAAACCGAAAAAATTTGTAAAATTTTGTTTGAATTACAAGGGTTATTTGTTATTTACCGTTGAATGCGGAAGGAAATATAAAAAAATTATAATTTTGTTACAAAAAATAAAATATTTTAAAACATTTCAATTTCTACATTTCTCTTTTAGGATATTGCCTATTCCAAAAATTGCCGTGCTCTAGATAAGTAGGCTTTTTTACAACCTGCTAATAAAATAAAGATTTCGCATATCCCTGGTATAAGACCCCTTAACCCATTTGTAACTTCGGATAATTTAAATTTTATGTTTCGAAAGTAAGATTCAACAATTCGTGTCGGCATTCAGCGCATCATGAACGGGAATTCGCGAGCGTAATTTATCGATGATATTCTTTGCATTTTATACTAAAATTATTTCGTTAAAATAAAAAATGCTTGTTGAAAGGTAAAAACGCGTACGTAATTTACCAAGACGTTCGCTACATTAAAAACGAGCGTAATAAAGACGTACAGAAATAACGAATTTATCTGGT